ACGAAGGCCGATCCGGGAACGCCTGGAAAGGAGGCTAATGTATACACTGGTACCGAACTAGTTTTACTTCTACAACTACACTCATGGCCACCTCATCTGTGCCACTTTTACAAGGACAATATTAATTTAATGAAGGAACATAATATATATAAATATAATATATAGCTATTTCCTATAGCTGAAAAACTTTTTTTAATCGTGCGAAAAAATGCATGCATGCAATTAAATTGCCGTGTTCCTATAAGTATTCTGGTAATCCTTGTATTTGTTTTAATCATTTTTTATTAATGATAATCTTAAAAAGGTTTGCATGTCACTTTTTATTCGGATCACGAGGGAAGGGTCAGATAAAATATATTCAAAAGATAAAGTTTACAAGTCGTAAAAATCTATACACATATTTTTCACACAAAAATTGGTACAAATTATATCAGGATATTCAAGGAAGAAATTAGAAGAAAGTCGACTGATGTATCCTACAAAAGTCCACTGATGCAATAGTAAGCCGGGATTACGTAAACAACCGGTACCTTGGTGATAACAACCGGTCCCTTGGTGATAACAACCGGTCCCTTGGGGATAACAAACGTCATCTTGGCAATAAAAACCCGTGCATTGACGCAGATATGTTATTTACGTTCAGCACACGTTTAATGTACTGGCAAACAAACATTTTGTGCGAAGAAATCGCACTCTCAGGACGGCAAAACGAAAAAAAATCTCTATGAGGAAATATGTCTAGTATTGTCATTCTCTTCCGTTCCTTACCACATATTTATACTTAAATCGTTTAAAATCGTGGTGCCTCTTTATTATTTTTCTTAGCCTAACCAGCCTACAATACAAAACAGCAACATTGCATTTTCCCCGGAATTTGCATTACCATTGAATGCATTTAATAGATCAACAGTATCTCGTGCTTGAGCATGTATGATCCATGTCAGATCGTCCTTGGGGATTCAATACACAATATCCTTATCGACCTTCAATGAGTAAGAATTAATTTTTTTAAGTGCATGAAATAGCATCTTCTCTCAGATATCCGAATCGTCTTTCAATGTAGCTAAATTGAATCCACGGAAAAGATGATGATAACACGTATATAAAATGCTATTTAGTAACCCTTGAAAACTTAAAGTCTTTAGACATTTTATTGTAAGTCGTCATTTGTATGGCACAGATAGAAATATTTTTACTAAATTAAATGCAGTGAGTAAATTACTACACTAAAAATACTAGAAAAGGGAAGAAAAAAATTTCTATATCTGTTTCATATTTTGATAAACCATTTCCAACTGATAATGGATGGTACTTTGTTGCTCGAAGATTCTAGGAAGGTTGATCTCAGCAGGCCCTTTTGTGGGCCTTATCTTACTTTTATTACTATTATACAATTACTACGAAGCAATAAAGGATAATGTACTTTATGTACATTACATAACTTTGTGTATATAAAAGAAATGACCTGTTTGAAAAGTCCAACAGATGCCATCATAATTTCTCCATTAACAGGCAAAAAGAAAGCATTTTCTCTTAGTATTAAAGCGGGGTCATTTGTCTTCCAGTGTCAATGAAGAAATGTGTGGAACCAAAAAACTTAGAATTCAGTGTCAGAACAGACTAGAGAATATGCGTATTATTTTGTTATAATTCCGTTTTCCATCCTGTTCTTTTATTTTATGCTACACCTACCCGCTATTAGTCTCCGGGCAAGAACCTGTAATAAACTTTCTTACACACACA